CGTCACAGCAACCGTCAAAACAATCGTCTCAAGCAAACATTCACCAAGGTTCCCAAATTTTTTCCAACATTTTTTTATCATTCAGTTTATTTCTGTATGAATCCATGTAAAAAAAGAGAACAGAAAAAAAATACCATCCATCAATAACAATACAAATTTCTTTCTACCACTTCTATTGGACTAATTATAACCATTTCAGCTCCATTTTTTCCTCGTTAAACTTTGCAGTGCATTTTTACTACGGTTATAACTTAAAAAATTTCAAATGGTCCAACAAGTCGACTAAGATCTAGGAATTTGACGGTGGTGAGGGAAAATTAGAGGGATTTGACGAGTATTAGAGCAGAGCGTTCAGACTTGAGGGGGTGATAAGCGAATAAAACAAATTTTAAGAAAATATCAGAGGATATGCCAAAGTTTGACAACAATTCTTTTCACTAGGACTGGTCTTCTTATTATTAGTCCTCTTATAAATGGTTAAAGGGTTAAAAAGATATCGAAAAATTAGCATTAAAATGGCGAAGTAAGTTGAATGAGTCATTGATTTTATAATTTGTTAACTGAATCATGAAAAAAAAATCATGGGCATCTTTCGAAAGATGTTTTTTTGGCAATGAAGTCAGAAATTATCATTTCAGATTTAAATCTGTTTGCAGAAACTGATTATTGGATTGAGGCAAACGATTGGTTTATATCGTTTCAGTCCATTTATCTTATATTAAGCAGTTTAGTTTCTAAGCAATTATACATTAGGAAGGAATAACATGTAGAATTTCAGAACCACATATGGTAGAACATGCAGTTGAGAGTAAAATGATTGAACAAGTCACTATTCCTAATGGCGTTCGAAATGAAGATACTATGAAGGAACAAGAAGCTCATATGAAAGCTGAAGAAGAGCGACGTCAAGCTGAGGTTAGACAAGCTCAGTTGAAAGCGCAGCGAGAAGCACAACGACAAATACAAGAAAAAGCTCAACAGGAGGCATTAATTCGCGCGCAACAAATCAAGGCTCAGGCAGAAGCGCAAGCTAAAGCACAACAAGAGGCGATTCAGCGAGCTCAACAAGCCCAGGCCCAAGCTCAGAAGGAAGCACAAATGCGAGCACAACAAGCTCATATGGAAGCCCAATTGAAAGCACAAGCACAGAAAGAAGCACAGTTAAAAGCACAACAGGTTCAAGCTCAGCGAGAAGCACAGTTAAGAACTCAACAAATGCAAGTACAGGCCAAGGTGCAACAAGAGGCCCGCTCTATGGCACAAAAGGAAGCTCAGCTGAAGGCAGCACAGACGCAACAAGAAACAAAAAATCTTGCACAAATGGAAGCTCTACAAGCCCGTGAAGCCCAAAATCAAGTTCAGCAACAACAAAAACTCGCTCAGCAGCAACAAGCCAAACTGGCTCAACAGCAACAACAGCATACCAAACCCACCCAGCAACAACAGCAAAATAAACTTGCTGGGCAACAGTTGCAACTTAAGTTTGCCCAGCAGCAACAGCACCAGTTACACCCTAAATACACTGAATATCAAACCAAACAGCAACCACCAGAAGCATTTATGAATCAACAAAGAAATGTGCCACAACCACCTCCAAAGCCAGCTGCTGTCGAATTTTCAAACGTTCTTCTTAATCAAAGTGCTCAGATTAGTAATCCGGCAAATGACAGCATAAAATTTGTTAAACAGTCTAGAACCATTGTCGGAGGTATAATTCGGGCAGATGGCGAAAAAATAAGAGCATTAAGAGGTGGAGATGTACAACAAATCTACCTTAACAATTTCGAAAAACCTGTTGAATCACCACAACAGCAACAAATCAAACCAATTCAGGCCGTGGTTCGTTTATTTAAGTTGTTGATTACTTCTTTGTCCACTATGCAATTTTTTATATTTATCAGTGTTTCTTAATCCGTTAAATACAAGTAGATACAATTCTTCCAGAATCATTGAACTGATAGAAAAATTAATGATGCACTTAAATTTATTTCTCTTCAAAAAAACTGCACTTTTCCAGACACAATTGATCTTTTCATAAAATTTAGGAGATTAGATTATTTGATAATAGATTTTAGAAAGATAATGCATGGGTAACTCAAACTCGAATTGCTGTTTCTGATATTCAGTTGCCACTACCGGCAAAAATTTCTATACCTGAACTGCATGGATCAGTTGATGTCAGGGTAGGCAAGCACCTATTTTTTATCTCTTGCATAATTTTTACATCTTTCCATTTTTATAACTTATGATTTCCTTTAACTTGATGGTCCTCAACATCTGGTGACAAGTTTTTTTCTGTGCATCTTTTTCACGTATTTTCACGTACTTTTTTTTGACCGAAATATCATTAAATTAAGTTAAATTAAATAAAAATTTTCCTCTTTTATTTCAGCCCACAGTAATTGTACCGAGACCTACCGAAACAACAAAAGTGGAATGGAATGAATTTCCAGCAGAGGAAGTAAAGGATAAAGTCTTTGTTCCAAAGATAAAAACACAAGAGTGGAATCCCGATCAACAGGTTCAGCCTTTCAAATAGGATGTGGTTTATATTATATGATCCTCACTTCATTCCCTTTCATTTTTCTTCTTTGCATCGATTTCCATCGATTTACATATTATATCAAAAAACAATAAGAATAGTTATGAAAATCGGTGAAATTAGTTTCTGTTATTGGGGCGAAATCACTTCCAAATTTTCGTTCGTAAAGGCCTTTGGTAAAGGCTTTTGCCTTTGACACGAATAAACCTGTCATGATCAAAATCTGGATGGCTGCTGGGTGCCCACCTGTAACATAGAGCTATCCTCAAATGACTCAATGGTGAAAGGGTCTAATATTCTTAGCATGGCTAAAGACATGTCTCTGAAAGTCACTTCCATGCTAGGATATGCTAGTAAGAAATGCGCTAATTGGATATTGGAAGTAACTGTTCAATTATCTGAAAAGGATGCAAAACATGCCAAAGCAAGGCTAAATGTTAAAAGATTTTGGCTATTCGATAAGAAATACAACGACAGCAGCAGAGGGATAAAAATCGTTATTGGAGCTATAGGGCCTTGAAAATGAAAACGGCGACTCTATTAGGCGATAATAGGAAACTATACATTCTGCACAAAGCAGCTTTAAGACTCGAAGAACAATCAGTGAAATGATACGGGAAAGTGCAGCTGATATAGTTGATTCGCTCTGCAAACCATACGTTTGTAACTGCGAATCGCCAATACAAGAGGAAATAATTTCTGTTATCCATAATCTTAAGGCCAATAAAACTCCTTTAAGGAGAAGATGGTCTGTCGGTTGAACTCTTCAAAAGTTTTCCTTCGTCCTTCATATAATGCCTTTAAAAAATGTACTCTTTGGTATGGAAAAAAGAAATAATAGCAGATGACTGAAGAAAGGTAATTATACTCCCAATTCCCAATAAAGATGATAGGACATTTATCGAGGAATCAGCCTACTAGATACGTCGGGGAAAGTTTTCACCGTCTTTCTAACAAAATGAACGGACTAAACTTATGACAATATGAGACAGCAGGATGAACCCTAGCAAGCTTGATTCAGACTGGGAGGCCAGTGCTGACCAGATATTCACGTTAAGAAAGGTGCTAGAATATAGCCTAAATATCAGCAACCCACCGTCACATGTTTCATTGATTTTGCAGCTGTCTTCGATATTGCTAGCTAGAATGACGTTTTGGCGTGGTGGAATATGACGATTTTCGAAAGCAGATCGACTCATAAAGGCATTTTATCAGCGACATCGGCACATGTATGTGTATATGGAGATTTAACAGATCATTTCAAAATAAGAACTGGTGTCCATCAAGGCTGCGTCCTTTGACCTACAATATTTAACTATGCGATAGACTGGATAATGGACATCACTTGTCAGCATTTAAGAGGTGTACAGATCAATTTAGAGCATAATATCATAGACTTAGACCTTTAATATGCTAATGACGTAGACTTTTTTAGTGTTATTTATGTCGGAATGCAAATAATGTTAAACTATGTGTTGACAACTGTAGCGAGAATCGGACTCGGGATCAACGTAAACAAAACGAAAGTCGTTTCGTTTTATATACAAGAAGCTGGTAAAATACCTGCTTTCATCAACTCATCATCGGTTGGGGAAGTGCTAGACTTTGAATATCGGAGACTCACTTTAATCCCAAACAACCAAGCGAAACATGAAATTGCAACTAACGATGGTTAGAAATGCTTTCCTTCGTTTGGCGAAATCCTAGTGAGGTTGCCGCGCAATCATCATAAAAAGAGGTCGACGCCCATATAGTTGCAATTCACTCGATATTGCTATATGGCTACGAGACACGTATGAGAGAGGAAAATATAATCTTTCTTTACCACTCATTTCTAAGATTTTAAGTGTCCACGAAAGGATAAAATCTCAGTTGATTGCATCCATCTTCGTTTAGATACCACTTACATTAGTAGTACTATGAATAGTACTATTAGTAGTACTATCAAAGGACGTCATCTTGCTGTTTGAGGCGTGTTCTTCGCCTCGCACCATAGGAGTTGACACATATTTTGTTACTCTTCAAGTCCTGTGACGGATTGTGGTGTGAAAAGTTTTGGTGGGCCAATTAAGACCTAGACTAACACACTCATGAAGGATTTTGAACGTTTAAAGAGACGAGCGATATATGGTGGAAAAAAGAATGGTTTCTATTGCTATTAGCGATGGCATCGCATTGAATAGCTTGGAGCCGTCTTACTCTTGTAGCCAGCGAGACCAAACTTACTTGTTTTAGTGAGAACCGTTAGAAATAGAAGCTCGGCCAAATGTCTTGTCTTTTTGCTAAAAGGAGGAATATTGCTCACTTGCAAAGATGAATTTTGTTTTAAATCCATTGATTTACCTTTTTGATAACAGTATTTTGATCTACTAGTTTTTTTCGCTATTTTCATATTGGACTCCTTTAGTTTTAATAACCATTTATTTGTTCTCAAAAATTAAAATATCCACATTTAGCGAGAAATTGTCGGGAGTCAGTCGATGAGGAGTGCATATCGACCTGGACGCATTGGTCGCGTTTGGCCTCCACCACAAGATGAGAACCAGCCACCGCCGTTAGTTCTTTTCAAAACTCTAATTCTAATTTGATTTTTAAAATTTAGATCATATCTGCCTTAGCTTTTTTTCATTTTGATCAAAACGCCGAATAATTCATTTTCTTAGCAACTTTTTTGCGTATGTTTTTTTTTCCATCAATTGGTTATAAAAAACTGGTGATCCCACAAATAATGTGGTAAAAATAAAATGTAGTTAATGAATTAAATATGATATGACGCAGAATAGCCGAATGGTTGTTCTGTTATGTCGAGTAATGAACGATAATACTTAAGGCTGTCGGGCATTAATTAAGTTAAGCTAATTGGATTTTATGATGATTTTCACTAGAAATATTTATATTGCTAGTTTTTAAAAAAACATAAACATATATAAGTCAAAGCTCATTTACAAACAGATATCAGTGGTTCAATAAATATGTTCAGATCGATTCAAAGATTCAAAGATTTTTATTTCAGTTCCGAATTCCGACCAAATAAGGCTGCAGACGATACTGCTTGGATACATGATGTACATCATTTTTTTAAAATAAACGAGTCTTCATTTGAAGGATTTAGAAAACGAGTAGAAATCAACGTAACTGATTTTAGGTTTCACGAACAACTAGTTGGTCAGGAGCATTTTTTCTTGTTGGGAACGATAGGAAATTGCGTTTTTCTAATTTTTAGCCTTTGCAAGTGGCAGTTAACAATATTCTCCTTAAATGCGATCCTTCTGAAACGAAATCGTGACTTAAAAATACCATTATCTACGTAGATTAAATTTACGACGCTATTTCCAAGTGACATTTAAGTTTGCCGAACCAAATTATGTCAGAATCTGTTAAGTGGGCTTTCGATTGATGTCGATCATTTTTTCTAACTAAATTTAATTTGTTCTACAGCGCTATATTTGTTGATCTATCAAATAAGTTTCATATATTCAAAAAAATATATAACTCACAAATTTCTCCTCAATTATTTTTAACTTAAGGACAAAATTACGGTTGAGAAAGTTACTACATGGAATATTACTCATCAAATGAAGGAGCCAAGAGTTTGGCCACCACCTGAAGTTGAAATAGGAGCCCGTGAACTTTCTGGTTTGCTTACAGTTAAATTCTGGTACCTCTGTTGTCGCAATTTATTCTCTTGTCATTGTGAACTAGATTAGGAAAGCACACAAAACTTATCTTTAATTCAAGCTTTTCAGGTTCACGACTTCCAGCCGTTCAATGGCCGCCCCCTGAGTTTGAACAACAAATGCAACAAGAAATTGAAGTGCTTCAGACAAAACTTCCAATAAGACCGCATCAACGCAAGTGGCCTCCAGCACCGCCCCAGTATCAAGGTAAAATTCCCATAGGAATAGGAAAAATTTATGTAAAGAAATCGATTTTCATGAAATCGAGCTTGATATTAAAATTTCGGTAAATCCTAGAATATTCCTTTGGCCAGCGCTTATTATTTATCACATTACAATTTGAAAAACTCGCCCTGCGAGTGAGTAAAATATTTTTTAAGTTGAAATTACTGCAGTAGTTTTAAAATATCCTTCAAAAAGTTAAATGAAGAGATGAATCGCATTGCAATGGGATTAAGGCCATTTAAATATGCTTTTGATTTAGAATGAAACTGACCCTTCTTTAATCGTCATAATGTCGTCTTTAAATCCCAGCGTACACCTTAACACCCACACAGAACGCGCTGTATTCCCTTAATGCTCCTTCTACCCTCATTCTTTAACACTCATTATATTCTCTGTGCCTTCCATTCTTGTTATAGTCCTTCAATATCTTAAATTTTTCTGGAGCATATGTCGATTAAAGTGGCATTTTATTATATATTTAGAAAAAATTTTGATAGTCGTTTATTAAAATTCTTTTTTTTAGAAAATTTCTCTGATGTTTTATAATTTGGATCTTTCAGCCGTAGAAATAGTGGAACAACATGTTCATGAACAGGTCATTTTTCGATTTCCATAGGCAGTTATAAAATTTAAAAGAAAAAAAATGAAACAATACTGCCCTATTGAACGAGTGTAAGTTCTAACATTTTCCAGTTCTAGTTCGAATTTCCAGTTTGGCTGGCCCTACTCTCTGCCACATATTTCTGAATAGCTAATATATTAAGAAATTGTCTGAGTGATGCTTGTCGAACATAGTTGAAGTTATTTTTTTCACTCCCTGAACCCACATATTGCTCAATAGCTAATGCATTGATAAATCGCTCTTAACCAAGTTTTGATTGGGTTTCTTCGCTTTTGACGCCATCGCAGGTTTTGGTATTCAGCATATTTCAAATCCACGTATTAACCGATTAAGAGCCATCGTGGGCTATAATCTACGATCTACGATAATGGCATCAAAAAATAATTTCAAATTTACAAAGAACTCATAAAAGTTTTTTATGCCCCTTTCAATGACTAAAGTATTCGAAGGGAAGGAAGTATGGTGACGGCTCGATATGAAATTCTATCCACGTGATGCATGCGCAGATTATATCTCAATGATCATGTCATTATCCATCTTAGCATATCCGAAATGTGAGATTCTATATCCGAATTGGTGAGAATCGAATCAATCGCATATTTGAAAACTTTAAGGAAATAAACTACTTCTTTTTACAAAAAGTTTCAAAAATTGTGTTATTTTTCCCTATAGACAGAATGCTGATTTGCGCAGCAAAATGCTTAAATAAATCAGGTTTTCTTGTATAAAAATGCCATTCTTTATAGCGCTACCAAAGCCAATAGAAGAATATGAGCTGCGGATACTTGAAGCGATGCTCCGAACCTTTCTCAGCGTCAATATTTGGCCGGTAAACTCACCCGCTGACCTAAACACAGCTTAGTTATTCTGCTGTTGCGCATTAGAATTAATCTGTCCAGCAGATGGAAAATTAAAAAATCTCTCGATTTTTAGCGCAGTAGGGCCTGCAATTTTTTTTGCATGCTGAAAGCAAAACTGCCCTGCTTCAGTGGTAAAAGCTTTAGCAAACAAACTTACAGATTGAAACAAAATAAACGCTATGAAATCTTGATCGCGAAGAGCGTTCCGAAATGGTTTGCTTATATGCGAAAAATACCCCGCTTTCTTCGCGAGACTTTTATTGAGCTCATACTTCTGGCGTACATATAGCTTGTCTCCCTGTAAGTGTTCTAACAATCCATGCAACTACGTCCAAGATTTGTTCACTTGCGCGTAAAATTAAATGATGTATGTCCGCTTTTCTTAATGGATTTGGAGCTCTATCTACTAAAGAGTTTCCACAATTGCGATTATTTTTTCGCAACAAAATTTGGATATTAATTGCATGATTCACCAGTGCGCCATGCCCGTATGTCAGGTCCTTTACGTATTTAAACTTCTCGTACGCCAATTCTCACTTAGGATATAGATTGATCAGCTATGCAGCACCTTCCCCCCGCCCCCCTCAAATTTTACTTTTAACAGCAAATTTATTTCTTTTAGCAGAAAAGAAGAGAATATGTGTAATTTTACAATCAAGTTAACGAAAAAGGAGATGAATTACTGACTCACTCGCTCTTTAATCGTTGTTAAAGAACCAACTATACTGCTGACTCTTGAATGATTGAGATGAATTTCGAAGTATATTATAGGTTCCACGACAAACGCCACCTCGAACGATGCCAAAAACAAGCGTTGTAACGAAAAGAATGGTCCATGCTTGATGAAGAAGCCGTATGATTGCAAAAAATTCTTTTTTCCCATTTAATTTAAATCATTTATGCTTTCTTTCACTATCTCGACGGGATGTGTAAATTTCATTTTCTCCGTGATTACTCACTACTAAATTTTAATGTGGTGGTAATTGTGCATCATTTGTAACGAATATATATAATACATGACAATATAAATGGATAATGATGTGCTCATATTTGATTAGAATTCTGATGATCGACCGTGTACTGCTTGATTATATAGTCAATTAGAGTAAAATGTATTTTACTGACGAGTGATTTACGAGATAAGAAATTAGCAAAATGCACGTCAAAATCATCAGTTTACAAACATTAAAAATTGATGCGATTAGAGCAACGAATAGAACTAAAACAAGTGGATATAACATCCTTCATAATTCAGAATTAATTCAGAATTCAGAATTAAATAATTCAGAATTAATATTATAGGACGTTGCAAAAAATCAAAGGAAGCAGTGTGATACAGTATAGCATGGACTACTGGTTTTATAAAAACGATGACAATTATTCTGTCGCTTGAATTTTTTTCATCTATAACGTTGCTTACTTGTACAGATCCCATATTAAAGAATCATTTGTCTATTTGGCTTTTGTCTAAAAATTACACCTATAACGAGGCGATTTAAAAAAATCAAACATTTCATCTATATTATCTAGCTTGTCCATAAGATTAGGAGAATTATGCTTTAAACATGCACCAATTTTGTTAATTTTGATATATATAATTCTATCCTAAAGTGTAACCCTTTTGTCTTGCTTCTAAGGAAAACATGCTTTGCTTCTTTTTTATGAATTCAAAGGCAAATCTTTGTCGATTGAATTTTATAGCTTAATATCGTTTAAGATCATCAATTGACGTTATAGAGTTAATTTTAATCAGATTTTTTTGTTTTTAAAACCAAACTAAAGAATTTGCATTTTCTTGACTCATTATAATATGCAAGCAAACATAATGAATGCATAACATAAAAAATGGATAAATAAAAATTTAAACAAATGTGAGTGACAAAAATGCAAACTTAAACAAATGAGACTGATTCTGGTCTTTTATAAATTCAACCGAAACCAATTTATATATCGTTTCATTCTCACCGACCACTGTGTTTCAATTCACTAATATTTTAATGAAGAAATTTATTCTGAATCTAAGCTAAAATCCACTTTTTATTCGTTTGAAGTGAGTTGAAATCAGGTATCATATCAAATATCATATGCTCATTATTTTGAATGGGCAAGATAGATTTTTGAGTGCTTTCTTCTCTAATAATCCGTAAATCAGCGATAAAAATTCCATGGCAGGATTTCTTATTGTCATATTTCGATTGCAATAATTCGTTAAATTTTCCAAAAAATTCATTGATCGATGAGAATAAAATTTTCAGAATTTAATTTCTTACTGTAATTTTCTTTAAAATATTTTGAAATTGCCAATAAATTTTTGAATGAACGAATGAATTTAAGGGAAATAAACATAAATAAAGGTATGCAATTTCCTGTAATAATAGTGAGAAAATAATTAATTTTATGTTGAGGGAATGCAGGAAAACTTATCAGATTTTCGCGTTTATATTTCACCTTCTCGTTAAACTATCTTCGAATGTTTTTGGAAATTGCGCATTTTTTTTGCTTTTTATTCAGTGAAAGCCTTTATTTATGAAAGAAATGATTGTCATTCGTTTGTTTTCTTTTCTTCTTTTTTAGTAATCCGTGTCGTTGGTTTGGCTTGTTCCACCGACGACGAAGATAATCCGCCTCAAAGGCTTTTGATCCGATGCCAGTGCTGAAAGTGGCTAAAGCCATATCTTTTCTCGCCGGTATAGGCCAGCATATCACTGAACCGCCTATGCTTTTAAAATCTGACCGTACCGCTTTAGGTTTTGATTCGTCCTCCACGCTTTTGATACATCATAAGTAGCAAGTAACGAGATGTGCGTGAATGCCTGTGATGGGCCACGAAGAACATACCAAACCAGATAGATTGAGCTTTGCGACGATATGCTTTAATGCAGATGGTATTCGAGCGAAGTATTATGTAAGACGTGTGAGATTTTGTCTATTTGGTGTGTACTTAGAATGTATCTTAGGTAAGAATGGTCAAAGGCAGACCTCTTCTTTCTCCATTAAACAAATTTCAGCCGTATAGCAGGATTATGCGTGGATTATGTGTATTATAGTCCAATTTTGCAATCATTTTAATAGAAGTTTCGCCAGGAGAAAAAAAATATCTCTGGCTGCAATTACCTGAGCTGCAATCGCCTAGCATTTGGAAAGATATTGGAAGGGATCCAAGATATTTAAAATTAACACTTTCTTCTACTGGTGATGAAATAGAAATTGCGATCTAATCAGCATTTAATATATAAGGTGAAAAAAGTTTCGTCGTATTTACATCGAATTGAAAGCAAATTTTCGCAATTGATGTCAAAACTGGATCGAGCATCTCTCACAATTCATCGTGACTATCAGGACAATATTACCAGTATATTCAAGGTCCTGATACAGTGATGCTATATTCTAGACTCGGAAAACGATATCCATAATCCAGTTTATCACATTGCAAACTTACGTATTTCAAAAGGTTGTATCAATTCCCTATACATGAGCTAGTGTGCGCTAATAGAATTCTTTGATAAGACTGATTAAATTCTCTGAAGCACCACCACATTGCATGACTTTCAATAGCGACTTCTTGTGATAGGATCAAAAGCAG